AGCAAGTGGAGGTTTCTGGTATCAGACTGAGGCTGGGGAGCCGAGTATGACTGAGGGGAGTGGTCCGCGCAGGCTGAGTCAGATCCCGGACAGTGTGGGGTGTGGCCTTTTCCTGCCTGGACAACTGGTCTCCTGCACAGACATGACAGGTGGCCTTGGACAAAACTGGACAAGCGATACTGCGGGGTGCTGAACCCCAGGCTGTGGGCTTGGCACGTGTCAGCGCTTCTGATCCCCAGGGTACCCTGTGTTACATGTGGAAACTGAGGCTCGGGGGGGCGGAGCCTCTTGCCTGGTTGGGGGTGCAGGAGAACCCGCAACTGTGTGGCTGCTTGCTCTCTTATTATAGCGGAGGTCCAAGGAGTGAAGGGTTGAGGCTCCTTTCACAGGAACTGGCGGTTCCCAGGACACGGTTGCTGGGCACCAGGGGTTGGGCTACTTGGCTCACTGGACCTCACTCTGCTCATCTAGGTAATGAGGTGCCCACCTCCAACCTGCTCCAGGTAGACCGTCACATGGGCGCTGGATGGAAGGGCCTTGAGGGACGACCTGAGGGGAGGAGGGCTGGTGACAGGGGTTCTCTCCACCATCAGCTCGCTCCCCCGCCTTCTGTCCTCCCCACTCCGAGAGAACATGTATGGAGCACCTGCTCTGAGCTGGCCCAGGCCTGGGCTGGGGGCTGCAGTCCAGCACACGTGACCAGTGAGTTGCCCACCCTCGATCCTGGCCCTGTCCTTTACTGGCCAGCCCCTTTCCTCCCGGCCTGGGCTCCCTTGTCTTGCCATTGTCCGCCTCCCAGGTGGTGGTGAGGATGACCATTAAATGGCACCACAGAGCAGGGGTGTGAGCTCTGGGGCACATGCCCTCTTCCTGGGGAGATCCGGATTCCCAAGACACAGGACCCCTGTCCTCAGAGCTCGAGACCCAGGTGCCAGCCAGTGAGGCGCACCCCGGTCACTGTGAAGCTGACACCTAGTGTGCCCAGGGTGCCGGAGCTCCGGCAGGTACAAGACGGTGCTGGGAAAGCCAGTCCCGCCAGTCGGGAGGGAGAGGGGCCATGGCAAGGGGCCTGGCTGCACCGTGTCTTGGATCAACAGGTCCCTGAGGCCAAGACCACGCGGGGAATGTGCTCAGCAGCCAGTCTGGAGCACTCCACGCACCAGACGTGGAGCGAGACTTTACTGGCCCAGCAGTGGGAGCCGCTGCTGGTTTCTGAGTGGGGGAGGGAAGGCCAGGATGTTCCTGACATGGGGGAAGCCTGGGACATGGCAAAACCGGGAGGAAGGTTTCACATATACACCTTTTTAGGCCTCCTCCCCCAGGGGCAGGGGGCAGTCAGAGGACCCTGGAAGGCACCCCCAGTGCAGCTGGCTCTGTGTGGGGTTCAAGGAGGACTGGGAGGCTTTCCTGGGAGCTCCTGCTCTTTGGGGAGGCGCCCGCCTGGGGCCTGGGAAGCAGCTGGCATCGTGCAACCCTGCAATTAGCAGGCAGAGGAGGCTGGGTGGTGGCACGGGGAGGGCGGGCAGCTGGCAGGCTGACAGCTACAGCTCGTGCTGCCTCTGCCTCAACCCCCCACCCACTGCCCCAAGGGGGGTGCCCAGGGTGGCTGGTGGGCCCCCAAGCAGACAAGGCACTGGGGTCTTGGGAAGGGATGCAAAACATAAGAAAAGCCAGAAATTGATACTAATAGTAAAGTCGTGTTATTGGATGTTGGTATAGACAACTCAGCTGCTTTTGTTCCCATTTTGCAGATCAGGAAACAAAAGCCTAGGGAGGCACAGGAGCTTGCTAGAGCACCCACAATCAATCAGAAAGTAGCTGGGTCTAGAAGCCAGGCTCGCCTGGAGGGCTGGGGTACAAGGGGCTCACTCTCACATATAGATTTCAGAGTGGGGAACCCCAGGCAAACTGGGCCAAAAACCACCTCAGCCGGAGAGTCAGGGGAGGCCAAGCCTTTGGAGGAGATTCCAAGGCCCAGAGCTTCAGGCTGCAGGGGAAGGAGGGCTGGGTGAGGCAGTGTCTGGCCCGGCCGGTTCTCCAGCCCATCCAGGCCCTGTGAGGAGGCAGGCACTGCTGCCCTTGGGCGGCTCTGGTTCTCTCAGAAGACTTAGCTGACCAGCAGAAAGACCCACACAGAACCAACCAGTCCTGCAGGTATTGCAGTGGGGCAAGCATGGGGGGTGGTGAGGTGGGGTGGTTCTGGCTTTAGCCTTCTACCACCCTGCCCATCCATCCATCTGTCCATCCTGCTTTCCTTCAAGGGTGCCCACTAGGCCTAGGGCCCTGTGTTTGCTGATGGAAGAACTTATTGCCCTTTAGGAGCACCCGCTGGGGCAGGACGGTAAACCAGCACATGGCCCAATAACGTTCTAAGAATGAATGGACCTTCGAAGGGCTGGTAGGACTCTGATGGGGAAGGAGTAGTTCTGGGGGGAAGGAAGAGCGCTCCTGGCTGGAGCTGCAGGGTCTGCAGAATGGGGCCTTGCCCTGGAGGAGGCATCACACTCAGGACACATGGGGTCTGGCCTTGGAGCACCACCTGCCCTGGAATGAGCGTCGCCACTAGCCAGCCGTGCAGCCTCAGGATAGTTACTCGCTCCTTCTGAGCTTCTGCCTTCTCAGCATAAACCGAGGTGGTGGTAGTGCCTGCTGCACTGGGCTGCAAAGGGCACGACATAGCTCAGTGGGTCAGCTGTCCTCCCTGTGAGGACGAGGACCCTGCAGGAGTTCTGATTTCACGAGTGACATGTGTACTTGGCCTAGCCTTGGCCAATGCCTCCCCATCTCACTCCGTTTCCTCACCTGTTCTGGACTAGCTCAGACCATCAACACACATGCAGGGTGAGGCTGCAGGGAGTGGTGGGGACTGCGGCCCACTGAGGCACTTCTGTGCCCCACAGCTGGGAGCACCTGCCTCTCAGCCCGGCAGCAGTGGCCCTGCAGGAGCGTGAGCTCAGTGTCTTCTAAGGGGCTGACTTTTCAAGGGAAAGAAACCTATATTTTTATGAGAAAACCGCACGACTACTATTAGCAGTGCATTAAAGTTTTTAAAGCATCACATGAGCCACAGCTGCCACTTCTGCTGGCAGATGCTGCCACCACGATGACCACTGGGACAGAAGGGCTGCGAGCAGGGAGGAAGCCCACACTCCAGGCCCAGACGATCTTCCAACTCCCCCCCCCCACCATGTCTGCGGCTGCACCCGCCTCCGGGGACTGGGTTTTCCCTGGGATAAAGGAGGTGGGAGGCCAGACCCTCTCCTCACTGACATTCCCAGGAGTGGCCCCGCCCACAGACAGGGGCTGTAATGGGGCCCCTGCTCTGCACTATCTCGCTGGAGGTGCCAGGGAGTCTGGGGGAGCCCGCCAACGGGTCTGCTCTGTGTCTGGGAATGGCAGGTCTGCCTGGGGGCCTGGGGGCAGCTCTCAGCACTGCTGTCAGTGAGGGCCCGGCTCCCGGTTCCCAGGGGTCAAAGGGCAGCATTTTCAGCCTCTTCTGGGGCCAACTTCCTGTTTGGGAGAGAAAACAGAACGACCCCTTCCTTGCAAGAAATGATCTTCCTGCAGTCCCTTTTCCAATGGCCCTGGCTTGTGGGGAAGGACCCACTGGGAGGGGACAGGGGCCTTCATGCCATGACAGCAGACCCCACCTCACCAGCATCGTTAGTTTAGGCTTGGCAGTAGGGCAAATATTCAGTGCCTGTATTTATTACCCCCAGATGGGCTCTTGGGCCTGCCTTTCCCCTCCTCTCACCCCCCACAGCCCCTGGCACCCCCTGGCTGCAGCCTCAGGGGTCCCTCAGACTGAGCCACAGTAAGAAAGTCCTTGAGTGCTGCTCCTCACCCCTGGCAGGGAGCCCCTTTAACAACAGAATTTAACTCTTCTTTGGTGCCAGCTCCTGCCTGGAGCCCCAGCCTCTCCTTGCACACCTCTGAGCACAGGAAACTCACCACCTTCCACGTTAGCACAATTCTAACAGTGCCTCCTTTTGCAAAAATTAGGCCCCAGTGCTTCAAATAAGGGGTCTCCTAACAGGCAGATGTCCCAAGTGCCACCTCATTGCAAACCTTAACAAATGTATGCTACTGTGTTTTCAATAACCACTTCCACCAGATTTAATATAAATCTGTTGGTTATAGACTTAAAGACTAAATATAAAAAAATAAAATTAAAATGACCTGTATTTTCCCTACCTAGAGCAGGGCTACGGGAAGGACAAAAGGATTTCTTATTTACTGTGTTTACAGCAACCTCTGGGTAAACCACTGGTGGCCAGAATGTCATCCCTTGTGACGAAATGCAGCTGGCACGTCTCTCCTCCCCGGGGGCTGCCCTTCAAGTGTTTTAACAATAACTAACCTTCACTGAGCTCCAGATGAGCCCATCTGATTCTCAGGATGGCTCTGTTGGACAGCTAATTGATTGATGGAGAGACTGAGGCTCAGAGAGGGCAAGTAACTTCCCCAGAGTTGCACAGCCAGGAAGGGGCAGAGCTGGGATCTGAATCCATCTGGTGCCAAACTTCAGTCTCCTCTTCTCCAGCTAACACGTGCACCGCATTTTCTCTTCCTCCTCACAGGAGCTGTGAGGACCATTCCAGACCATTCAGTCGGCAGCTCTGATGTTCGTTCATTCTTTCTCACATTCCTCCGTTTATTAAGTCACCCGACGTTTTTGAACTCAGGTCTGGTGTCAGGTGTAGGATGCTCCCCCCCACTGCCGCCGGTCCAGATCTGCCCCTCAGGACCCCACCCCAAGAACCTCAACTCGTTTATTACAAAAGAGGGTTTATTACATTGTACTATGAACAGCTCCTGCCCAATCCCCAAGGCTCAGAGGGGCAGGCTGGGTTAGGGACCCCACAGCCCTCTCTTGACACCCTCTTCTCCCTGCATGAAAAGTCCTGGGTGGGCAGGGGTGGTCTCTTGGCCAGGCCTGGGAGTGGTATTGTGTTTATAATGCCAGGTGCATATATATATATATATATATATATACACACACACACACACACACGCGCGCCATGGCTTCTCTTCCAATTGGAGAGTGGGCCATCAATGTCTGCCCTGGGAGAAAATGAGTCGTTCATGGCAGGGACTGGGGTCGCTCCCAGAGCGAGCGCAGGCAACTGCATCAGTTCAAGCTGCTGGTCGGCCAGGTAACCCAGGGTGCCTGTGGCCTTGGGCCAGTCCTGCCAGCCCTGGGAGCGCTAGGCCACCTGGATCTGCAGGTCCTCGTCCTCGTCCAGGTCGCTGGCCCCATCCCCGGCTTCCTCGGTGCCAAAGCGAGCACTGCGGATCTTCCCGAAGAGGGGGGCGTTCTGCTGCTGCCTGCGCAGCCTGCGGGGGGGGGGTGACATCAGAGTGTGGGTCTCATTGGTTGGGGTTGACCGAAGCTAAGCCTACCCTAGCACATCCCCCTGCAAAGCACCAGGCTGAGACTTTTACACACACTAGCTCATCACCTCACCCTCCTAGAAGTCCCTGAAATGATGGAGGGACTACTGTTACCTCCATTGTACAGACAAGGAAACTGAGTCACAAAGCAATTGAGTAATTGGCCCGAAGTCCCATAGACAGGGAATGGGGCTGGCTCTGGGGTGGGCGCAATGGGCGAGAGGGGCTTGCAGAGGGGAGCCGCTGCTCAAAGTCACGCTCTGGGGTCTGAACCCAAACCAGGCTCCAAAGACCACAGGGAGAGAGTTTGGGGGCCGTGGGGGGTAAGTCTTCTTCATCCCATTTCAGTGAGGAAGTGACCCACTCTAGTCCCTCCCCACATTCAAGTTCCTAAAGCCAAAATGTGCAAGGCAAACTTGGACCCTGAGCTGCAGAGGAGACGCCCATCCCCCAGCAGAGCGGCCGCCTGGCGGCATCTTACTGGAAGGCATGAATTATTAACACGGCAGGGAGGGGCCCAGGCAGGGCCCTCCATTACTGCGCAGTGATTTAGTGCGCTGTCCCCGGAACATTAGAGCACAAAAAGTTGGGAAAGGAAAAGGGCCAGCGGCCCTGGGTGGCCACACCCTCCCTGATGGAAGCACTTGAGAGGCTGGGCAGAGCCTGCCTGTCCGTCTGGGGAGTTTATAGCTCCCGAAGAATGTGGCCAAGAAGGGCGAAGGAGCCCTGGGGCTAGGCAGCCTTTCATGGGGTGTGTGCTGGGGGGCGGGCAGAGCTGGCCAGATGCCGCCTGATTTGGGCTCCTGCCCGACACTTCATAGTAACATCCCAGGCAGATGGGGAAACTGAGGCTTGGGAGCCATATCATGAGCCTGTTGGGTCTGGTTCCAGGGCCTGTTCTCTTCACTCTCCGCACACAGAAGCATATAGCACGTGTTTGGTAACTGAGGGCCAGATGGCTGATGGCCAAGGGGTGAGGGGCAATCTGGCCGGACCACCCACCGGCTGTGTGGCCACGGAAGGACTCACCCTCTCCTGCCTCAGTTTCCTTATCTGCCAACCCCATAGGAAAAGTCTTTTCCTTCCCTTCTTCCAGGACCATGATGCTTGTAGCACAGTATCTGACCCACATGTAAGCCCGCTGCCCAGGAGTGCAGTGCCCACAGCAGCTGAAGTTATTCAGCATTTATGAAGTGCTGGGTACACACTGGCTCCTTTAGTTCTCACAGTGACCTGGAGGTAAGAACGGTCCCCACTTCACAGAAGAGGAAACTGACACAAAGAGGGTAAGTGAGTGGCCCAAGGTCACAGAGCTTTGGAGCAGTCAGGGTTCCCCCAACCCCAGCAGTCTGGCTGCAGAGCCCTGGCTCCCTCCAGTCCATGAAATAAGAGGAAGCGAGTAAGGGCCTGCCAGGGCCTGCCCAGGAACCAGGTGTGTTGGGGGGGGGGGCTTGTGGAGTGGAGAGGGGCTTGGAATTGATGTTCTCTGATAGATATTCATGGCTCCAAGGGGTGTTAAGGAGAGGGCGCCCCTCCCAGGGTGCTCAGATGGGGAGGGGTCAGAGGAAGGGATGCAGAGGGTGGGTCCCCCAGAGACCCTGTGGTCCTGTTTGAGGGCTCGGGCCCACTGTCAGGCCAGGGCTCCTCGGATCCCTCCCCCTGATCCCAGCTGGCTGGTTGCCCCACCTTGGCCCTGACCTGTTTGGCCACCCTTCCTGCTCTCTGGCCATGGGAGACAATTCCAGGTTCTCAGCTGTCCTCACTTCCTGCACTTCCCTTCCCTGGCTTCCTGGCTCTTCCAGCCTGGAGGGGACAGGATTTTGGCCCCAGGGAGCCCAGCCCTCTTCCTCCTCTGTCTTCCTCTCTAGCCTGAGCTCCAACCCTGCCCGGAAGGAGGGAGGTTTTCTTTGGCTGGAAGTCTCCCTGGCCAGTTTCTGTGTCCCGGGCCTGGAACCCTCTGCCCGCTGGAGCCCGGTCCCGCCCAGGGGCGCACGTGGGGCCCACCTGGACTGCACATGCTCCAGCTGCACCTGCAGGTTCTCGCTCTGCTCCGTCTGCTCGTCCAGCGACCGCTGCAGCTTGCGTGCCTGGTTGTGGGCCTCATCCAGCTGGGGGGTGAGCAGGACCAATAGCATGAGCATCACCGTGGGCTGGGCCCGCCTGGCCTGCCAACTGCCATTCATTGGTGGGGATGTCCTTCTTGGAGAGCAGGCCCTGTCTGTCCTCTGAGGCCTAGACCAGGGCCCACCTCCCCCAGGGAAGCAGCCTTTTTGCTCCTCTCCCTCCTTCCTGCCCCTCCCCTCTAAACCCACCCATCCTCCAATGCTCCAAGCTACTGACCATCCATCAGCTCATCTACCCTCATCAGTCTGTTCACGTGACCATTCATCCATGGAAACATCCATCTGCCCATGGAGATGCCCACTTACCCACTCACCATTCACTTACCTAACTGTTCAGCCACCCATTCATCCTGTCCGTCCGCGTGTCCTTCTACTCTCCCAGACACACCTATCATGCTGTCCATCCATCCACCCTTTGTCCTTCTTTCCCTGTGCATTCATTCTTTCACTCATGGGTCCAGGCAGTTGTCTATCCATCTTTCCACTGTCCACTCGGCCATCCGTCTTTCCATACACTTGTCATCACCCATCCACCCACCCGCCCGCTCACCCAATCGCCTAGGAGACATCTGCTCTCACTTCTCACCCACCCATCCTTCTTTCCTCCCTTCCTCGCCCACCCATCTGTCCACTCAGTCCCTCATCGCCTGTCCATCCATCCGTGGAGTTATCCTTCTGCTTTCCATTTACCATGTACACATCTACCCACTCATCCATCCACTAATCTTTTCAACCACTCCTCCACCCTGTCCGTCCATTCTCCTTCCCACCCCCTCTACCCACACACCTATCTCCCTTCCGTCCATCATCCACGCACCTGCCCGCTCTACCCTGGGCACATCCTGCGAGTCAGGCTCATGACAGGCACCAGGGACCCAGCACAGATGACACTCCTGCCCCAGCTGAGGTCTCGAGGCCGCCCTTCGGACCCCAGCTGGTGCTCACCTCGTCTTCGGCCTGGGCCAGCTCCTTCTTGAGCTCCTCCACCCGCAGCCGCAGCTTCTTCACCTCTGCCTCGTGCTGCTCCACCCGCCGGTTGGCATGTGCCAACTCCGCCACCTTCTCCTGGAACTGTTTCTTCAGCTTGCCATGCACATGCTTCAGGTCTGCCAGCTCCTGCAGGGGGGCCAAGATGAGGGGAGGGCTCCGAGTCAGAGGGCACCGTGCCAGGGAGTCCCACAGCGTCAGGCGGTTCTAGCAGGCGCCGGCATCCCTTCTCCCTGGAATCTCTCCACCTGTTGTCTGAAATACCGGCACTAGAGGTCTGGCTGAGCAGCTGGAGGCCAGGGAGCCGTCTGGCAAGGTGAGGCCTGGGGGTTGATGAGGGGAAAGGACTGGGTGGGTGAGTCAGTGGCCCCCCTTTGGACGTGTAACTCGAATGTGCCTACTGGAAATGACGGGGGTTGTCCAGCAGAGTACCGGAGCTGAGTCAGGTTTTCTAGGCAGGGATGAGGCCTGCCCAGAAAAGAGATCAGAGGCCAGAGTGGCTGAGAAGAGGATGAGCAGCCAGGAAAGGAGACGCCCACCCCCAAGCTCTGTGACTTCTCTGAGCCTCAGTTTTCACATCTGTAAAATGGGGCCTGGCACGGCCTGAAAGTCTCTGGAATCCATCCTCTTTGTTCTATCTCCATCAACCACAGCCTGGTCTAGGCCTCTGTCACCTCTTGCTGCCCCAGGGAACAGGGACAGCACTAGCACAGGGACCACAGTTGGTGCTCCAGAAGTACAGACACTGCAGTTATCACTGAGCCTGACCCGGAGTGGGTGCCCAGGAGGGGTGGCTTCTGGGTGATCATCATCTCTGTCCTCAGTTGTTACTTCAGGGGCCCCCTGACCCCTGAGGGCTGACACTGGACACATGGCACGTGCTCTGCCCTGGCTGAACGGGGAGGCAGGGTTGCCCCAGTCCTGGCCACGCCACCCACTACCCCACCTTGTTCTTCTCGAAGAGAGCGGCCTGGCTGGCCCGCAGGTCGCAGTCCAGCGCGCTGGCTGTTTGCCGCCGCCGCCGGGCCAGGGCCTCCTCCAGGTCCCCGACCTGCGCCCGCAGCTTCTTGTTCTCCCGCTCCAGGCCCAGCTTCTCGGTCTCCAGCCGCTCTCGGCGACCCCACTCAGCCGCGTTCTCCGCCTGCAGACGCTCCATCTGCAACAGGGCAAGAGGGGTGAGGGCCCCTGGCCAGGGCAGGACAGCACGGAAGGGCCTTCCCTGGACACTCCGCTCCCTCCACTCCACCTCCTCCTGGAGCCGTTCACTTTTGATGCCAGGAAGCAGGCCCAGCTGCAGTGGCTATAACGAACCCTGGCTATTTCACCATGTGCAGGATGTGAGGGTGCTCTGGTCTCCGTAAGGGATGGAGAGTGCCCTTGGTAGATTGGGGTACCCCCCTGAGGGGTGGCCAGCCCATCTCAGAGCACAGGCCTCTTTCAAGCTGATGGAGGGAGGGCCTCCGTCCCCTACTCTCACCGCCCTCCCAGATCCTACCAGTGGCCCTACCTCGCCCCTCAGCTCCGCCATCTTCCTGTCCATGCTGGACCTCGCACCCAGCTCGTCCTCCAGGTCTTCAGACATGCGGCCCAGCTCGTCCTGGTGAGCCTCCTTCAGGATGCTGAGCTGCAGGACACAGCCTGGCCTGGTTACGTGAGCACCACCCGGCTACACCCCAGAACCAGCTTTGGGGGGCAGGCACTGCTGAGGAGTGCTCAGCAAGCAGGTGGTGACCCAGCGGGTGTCCAGAGCTGACCTTGAACCTCACCACTGTGCCGCTTCCAACACTTCTCATTTCCTACTTCATTATCTCCTAGCCTCCCAGATCCACTCCTAGCCCCCTTCAACCCATTTTCCACAACAGCAGCCTGGAGTGAACTTTAAAAAGATAACTCCACTCACGTCCCCTTCCTGGGCTCCTTGGGGTAAAGACTGACCCCTCCCTATGGCCTCACAAAGTCCTCCCACCTCTTTCCCCTCAGTTCACTGTGCGGCCTCCCTTCTAATCCTCGAATATACCTTGCCCACCCCAGGGCCTTTGCACGTGTGGCTCCCTCTGCCTGGTACGCTTTTCCTGAGGTATTCTGCAGCATGGACGCTTCTCCTTCTCAGGCCTTGGCCTAAACGTGCCTCCCCCGTCAGGAGGCCTCTCCTGCTCTCCCCACCTGGAGAACATCCCACATCCCTTGGGGATGGGAGGACAGACAGCTTGTCTGTTTGTCTGTCTGTCCAGTTTTGTACCCCTGCGTGGCCTCAGCACAGGGGAGCCCTCAGCGTATACTGGCTGAACGCATCCTGTGGATCTGAACCTGGTCTGAGGGTGGGTGCGGGGTTGGCTACATCAGAATCGCCTGGGGTGCTTTTGAGGTGGTGTTGCCAGCAGGGAACAGCAACAAACTCCACTCTGTGCAAAGACAGGGATGAGCCTGAAATACTTAAACGTTGAGGAAAGAAGTCAGATACAAAAACAGATCTTTCTAACTGTCCGTGAAACTGCACATTCGTGTTTTATTCACTTTACTGCAAATGACTGCACTTTACGATTTAAACAAACTAGAAGGACAGATTCCTGAACCTAAGCCCAAAGATGCTGATTCAGGAGGGTGAGAGTGGGGTCTGGGAGATTCCCTAAGGCCAGTGTCAATCTTTCCACTGGTCTTCTGAGACTGGTGGTCTGAGATGGGTGGTCCTCCCACCTACGAGAAACGCAGCCAGTCCAGCCAGCTTTCTCTGGGTGGCTGTGCCCCCTGCTGGCCATGGGGGCCGGCACAGGAAGTGGCAAAGGCTGCCTAGCCTGACCCCTGCCTGCTCTGAGTCCTCCACACTGCAGTAAAGCCAAGTCCCCTTTCTGCCACCTGGGGACTCAGTTTCCTCATTGATAAAGGGGGGACAGCCTCCAGACGCCATGGGGCTTCAGCGAGCTCTTGCACACACTAGGCGCCCAGCGAATGCTACGTCCAGACTCCTCCCCTTCGTCCTGGTCCCACCAAGCTCTCCTTGCAGCCTCCTCTCTTACTTACTACCCTGCAGACACTCTGGCTCGTTTTCTGTACACATGAGGCTTGTTCTGGTCTCAGGTCCTTCCTATTTGCTATGCCTTCTGCTGGGAACTTTCCCCCCATCTTCTAATCGCTTTAACTCTCACCTCAAATGTCACCTTCTTAGCCAGGCCTTTCCTGACCTATCGCCCCATTGCTCTAATACTGCGTTGAGTCTTTCACAGTTTATGAATTTACCTGCCTGGTTTCTGTAGGTCTCCCCCAAGCCCCTCCCACAAGGTGAGCTCCTGGAGGCAGGGACGTTGCCCACCCCAGCACTCAGAACAGTGTATGGCGCACGGCTGGCACTTGACAATGAATGAATTCCCTTCTTTCTTCCATTCCCACTTCTGAAATTCAGCCGCACAATGCTGCTTCCTCCAGAAAGCCCCCCTTGGTTTCCAAGACTCACTTGCTTGAGGATCTCCTGCTTGGTCTTGCTCAGCTCCTCGTACTTGATCTTCCACTGGCTGAGTTCCCCCTCCAGCTTCTCAATGTTCCTGCTCAGTGCCAGTTTATCCCTGGGGAGGAAAGAGGGAGAGGCAGACATGGGGGTGAGCCCACTGGGGCCCTCCGTTCAGAGTCCCACTGTGCAGCCTGCACCTGCAGAACCCACGCCCAAAGTCCTTGCCTCGGCATTCAAGGCCCTGGCAGCCCACACTGCAGGAAGCACCCTGGTTTTGCATTTCTCCTGGAACTGTACCCCTCCCACAATGGCAGGTGCCCAGCTCGTGGTTTGGGGACATGACCAGGCCTCCTCCAGGGTCCTGGCCACCCCCGGCAGGTGCCGCCCTCCCTCTGGGGCCCCAGGGTCATCTGCCAAATATGACCCCTGCCCCTGTTTTTTGAACTATGGTTTTCCTGGAAGGCTTGTTTGAAAATACAGTTCTGTAGTTGGAAAAGCTGGAAAACACTGTCCAGTGACTCTTGGACCTAGTGGTCCCTGCTTGTCATCATCACTGGGTGGGATTCCCTTATTCTTCCATGACCCCCCACGCACATACATGAAGCACACAGGTAACAACTTGCTGCCTGACACTCCTGGGGGTGACAATGATCTGAGCCTAGACCCTTGCTCTGGTTTACACGTGAGTGGGAAGTGCCTTGTGACCTAACAGTTTCCCAGGGACGGAACTGCTGTACAAATTGAGGGAAGACTGCACTTGGCTTTGCTGAGAACTTGACCAAAGGCTGTTCACCTCTCAGGACATCCCATCACCACAGCGACACCCCTCGGGCGTTGGAGTTGCCAGCCCTGCACGCCTGCACCTGATGCTTTGCTAGGCGTCCTAGCAGGTGACTCAAATGGACAGACGCGCACACAGCTTCAGCACGGGCCTGACTCGGAGCACCTGCTATGTGAGTACCTGCTGTCACGGTCGTCACTATCATTCTGCATCAAGTCACCAGATTCTCCTCCACTCATTACTTCTTCCAGTGGGGCCGTGTCCTAGCTTCCCCACGCCACAACACAGCACGGGGCTGGACCAGGCAGGCCCATTCACACGCACGTTTTTTCAGTGAATAAAGAGTCGGCCTCTGTGTCTCCAGGTTTTGCAGGGTCTTTGATTTGTGGTTGGGAATCTGTGGGTGCAAAGGGCCAACTCCGAGTGGAGCCTCAGTTCTTGAACTTCATGTATTCCAGAAGGCTCTTTGAGAACTAAAGCATTCAAGATGGGAGACCTTCAAGAACTGGAGTTTGTTGCTATATGCCTTGTTCTACCACATTTTATATAAGGGACTGGAGCGTCTGTGAATACCGAGGGACAACCGTGGTTAATTTTTATGGAGTGAAATCCTACACACGGATTTTCAATTGTGAGAGACTTGGTATCCCTACCCTCTGTGTTGTTCAAGGGTCAATTGTACATACATTTTATTATGAATTCTTTGCCTTTCTACTTAATATTTCAGTTAGCACATTAGGTTGATTTTTGTTTGTTTAAATCGACAATTGATTGTCTTATAGTTCTGCAGGCTAGAAGTCCAAGATCAAGGTGCTGGCAGGCTGGGTTCCACCTGAAGGCTGTGAGAATCTGCCCCGCCTCTCCCCTAGCTTCTGGTGGTTGCTGGCCATCTCTGGTGTCCCTTGGCTTGTGGGAGCATCACCCTGACATCTGCCTTCCAGGTTACATGGCATTACATTGATTTTTTTAAATTTAATTAATTTATTCTTAGAGAGAGGAGAAGGGAAGAAGAGAGCGTGGGAGAGAAACATCATTGTGTGGTTGCCTCTCATGTGTCCCCTACTGGGGACCTGGCCTGCAACCCAGGCATGTGCCCTGACTGAGAATCGAACCAGTGACCCTTTGCTTCACAGGCCCGTGCTCAATCCACTGAGCTACACCAGCCAGGGCACAATGAGTTTCTAGGAAACCACGTGTAGCCAGATTATCCTAATATGAATTTAATTTCTGGATGGAAGAGGACGTGTTACAACATACTCATTATAATTCGGTGTGTGCCCTGATCAAAGTCACTGGTGACCTGCATGTTCTTTATTTAAATTATGTTTTAATGATTGATTTGAGAGACCTGTTTTGCCAATTGCAGCCTCTTCACATACGCAGCTGCCACCCTGCCCTCTCAGACTCAACACATCCAAATCGACTTTGCAGCTGCGACCCCCCAACCTCTCTGTCCCTCCTCCCCTGGTTAAATTTTTGCCCCCGGCACTCTCTCCCCACCTGCATGCAAGCTCCACAAAGGTGGGGATTCCTGGTCTCATTTACGGCCGCACCCTCACAGCTGGCACGGCGCCTGACCCAGGGCAGATGCCCAGCACGTGTTACTGGAAGGAATACGAACAAAACGCACCTGGGGTCCTGGGGTGGGGCACTCACGCTGCCAGACTCAAGCCCCGACAGTGCCGCTCCCCGTCAGCAAGTCTCACATCTGTGACACCGACTTTCATTCTACGATGCTGAGGGTGCCCTGCTCCCCCCGGACCCCCTCCTGCCTCCCAGGACTCACTCTCGTTCCTTGAGCAGCACCTTCTGGGACTCATCCAGCCGCAGCCGCAGGGCCGTCAACTTGGAGGCGTCCTCCTCGATGGCGGCCGTGTCCTCCCAGGGCAGACGGCTGCGCTCCTGGCGGCCGGAGCTGCCCCGTGGGCCCCCGGCCCCTACACTGCGTGCCTCCCAGCAGCCCTCGGGCTCTTCTGGTCTGCTCTTCAGCAGGTTCTCCACCAGCTCCAGCTCCTGCAGGGACCAAGGTGGAAAGCGGGCCAGTGGCTGCTGAGCCCTCTGGGCCTCTCCCAGGACTGGGGTCTGGAATCAGCTTGGTGGGTAACCCTGGGCAGGTCACACAGCCCTTCTGGGGCCCAGCGCCCTGTTTTGTAGCCTGGCTGTCCATCCTAAAAAGGGAAGGATGCAGCCTCCTCGGGGCCTCCCCTTTCTTGTCCTGGAACTGCACACTGAGTCAGCCACCAAGGTTCCCTGTATCCTGGAAGATTTCTTAGGAGAGGTGGTAAGCTCCCTGTCACTGTAAGTATGCAAACATACTTACATTGGTGTGAATGCCAAGGCAGGGAATTCCTACAGCGAATAAGAACAAAATTCCTTCAAAAGGAATTCTGGCTCTAGAACCCCATTTTTCAGGGGCTAACGCTAAGGCACTGGGAGCTAAGCGCCGAGAAGAATGCTAAGATGGTCCTGCAAGCAGAACCAGCTCCCAGACAGGAAGCCGTGGGGGGTTATTAATCCAATGCCAAGCCCTGCTTCCCCTCTTGAACCTCCCTTTCCCCTCTGCCCTGTCCCTGTGCACCCCAAAGGCCTGCCTTGATCACAAGCCCCGGACACCATGGCCTCTGTTCCAGCCTGGCTTCCCCATGGCCTTCCCATGTGAGTGTGTCAGCCCCTCCCCAGGCTGCTCTCAGTTTCCCTACCAGACGGGGACTGTGGCTCTGAGAATGCCTCCAGGAGTGAGATTCCACCCCTCCCGTAACTCAGAGTCTGGAAGGGGGCCTCGGGGGCCTCAGGTGCCTCCTGGCCCAAAGCTCTGCTTCACAAACAGGGAAACAGGGAGGGAGGGGCTTATTCTGGGTCACAGAGCAAAAAAGTGGCAGAGCGGGAGGGCAAATTCAGATGGCAACTCTAAGGTTCTCACGGCTGTCCCTGCCACCTCCTGGACTGTGACTGACAACCAGAACAAGGCCAGGTCAGGAAGAGACTGCAGGGCTGGCTGACAGGAACTGCCATGGTCTGCCCCCAAGAAGAGCACTGAATGCCACCTCCAAACACCAGGCAAGGCTAGGGAAGAGGGAGCTTCAGTTACCAGAAGGTAGTGGTGCCCACTCTAGCCTGCTGGGGTGGAGGAAGCAGGACAGGGGAGGGGCAGGGCAACCAAGAATCTTAGCTAGAGCTTGGGGATGGAGCTAGGAGCAACCTGAACTTGGACTCTGCCCCTAGAAGGCCTTCTGGCGACAGGCCTGCTGGTTCAGAGGAGGCTGCCCTCCACACCCACCATTCACGCTCCAGCCACACTGATTATTACCATGGACTCTGAAGTTCACCTGGGTTCAACTCCCCAGCAACTTGTCACCAGCTGGGAGACATGGGTCCTTAACCTCTCCATGCATAAAGCAAACCCCTCCTGGGGCTGCTGTGAGAATGACCTAGAAAATGCACCTCAGATCTTAGGGCTCTGTGCAGATGGCCCCAGAATGGTGGGAGCTGTTATTGCCAGTCCCCAAACTCCCCCGGCGCTCTCCGCCTCGGGGCTTTGCCCAGGCCGTTCCAAGCCTGGAGTGCCTCTCTGCACTTCTCACCGCTATTCCTGTGCGTCCTCTTAGTCTCAGTTACTTAAACAGGACCTCTTTCAGGAGAGCTTCTGTGCAGCCCCTCCCCAAAGACTGGATCCGTGCTCCTAGGGCCCTTACTGCCCCTTACCTCTCAGCTGAAATTGATGCTTGCTATAAATGTTTACCTCCCCACCCTCAATTCAAGTTGATTGAATGATCAGGGTGGGGGGTGGCCCAGGGGAGGGCGTGCTGCTGGGCGGCGTGGGAGGCAGCGAGTCTGCTGGCCCCATTCGGTCCAGCGCCGGGCTGCCTAGAATGGTCAGGAGGCTGCATTTGGACAGCTGCGGGGACTCGGCCAGTCGCAGGCTCGGCCCGTGGCTCACAGGCTCCGGGCTTGAACTTGGGCTGGACTCAAGGGAGGATTCAGCGCTACTACTAATGGATGCCTCTCAGGCAAGTACTTCAATCCCACTCCTGCTCGGAGTGGGTGATTCCCTGGTTCTGTTGACTACTCAGGTGTGAGAGTAGAGGGACCACCAGAATTCAGGGTTCTCTGCCCTAGGAGTCTCTGGAAGGGAGGTGACCTGGGGCCCCACCACGTTGACCCACAGGAGTGAAACCTCTTAGGGCACCAGGCCCTTACCATCCCCTTGCTGGGCCAGGCGGCCTCCACCTCTGTGCAGTCAATCAGCCCAGTCCACTTTCAGACCCAAGGGCTAATGCCCTCCCTGTCCAGCAGCACCGCCTCATCCACACACCTGGCTGCTCTGGGGCCTCTCTGACCCAACATCGCGCACGGGCTCATGCTCCCGCTCCGGCTCTGTCTCGGGTCCATCAGGTGTCTGGTCAGCAGCTCCCCGGGCTCCACGGAGCCGCGCCAGCTCTCGGCCCCGAGCCTCACACTCGCCCTGCACCTCTTGGCGCTCGCGGCGGGCGCCAGCCAACTCCTTGGTGAGTGCGTCCAGGCGCTGGCGCAGCTGGCGCACTTCTTCGCGCGCACGGTTGCGCTCCGCGCGCACCTTGCTCCACTTCTCACGCCAGTTGGCAGTACAGTCCGACCACCAGCGCATGGTCTTCTCCATCTGCGCTGCCCGTGCGCGCGCCTCCTCCAGCTCCCGCAGCCGCAGCTCCTCGCGGCTCTCCCAGTCCCCGTCTGCAAGCAGTGCAGAGGGTGGCGGCAGCGGCAGGGTGGGGGGCGGCCCAGGGGAGGGCGTGCCGCTGGGCGGCGTGGGAGGCAGCGAGTCTGCTGGCCCCATTCGGTCCGGCGACGGGCTGCCTAGAATGGTCAGGAGGCTGCCTTTGGACAGCTGCGGGGACTCGGCCAGTCGCGGGCTCGGCCCGTGGCTCATGGTGCAAGGGGGCTCACAGGCTCCGGGCTTGAACTTGGGCTGGACTCAAGGGAGGTGCCGGGGACTTTTGGCGCATATGATACCACTGTGCATGATGACCACCTCTACCCACTGCTCTTGGGGCCACGGGATGGGGGATGCCTCCTGGCACCTGTAGGAGAACACATCATTATTAGACTGTGGCTGCCGCCTGTCCATATCCATAAGATCAGCGTGGGAAGGGCATAAGTGACAGGAGCAGCGTGGGCAAAGGCAGAAGGAGTGAAAATGGTCTGCTCCAGGAGAACTCCCCCCCCCCCCCCGCCCCGGGTGAGCAAGGGCCTGCAACCACTTTCTCACTGGCCTCCAGACTCCCTGCTTTAGTCCCTTCAATCTGCAGCAGCAAGTGCTGAGCTGCAACCCTGATCTGCTGCCCGTGACCTTCAGGTCCCATCTCACACACTGAACCCCCCATTCGCACCCTGAACACAGCGCACTTCTACGCTGGCCCTCCTGCCTCCTCCCACGCTGGCCTAACTCATCGCATCCTTAAAACTTATCTGAGATATCACCCCTTCCCAGAAGTCCTCCCGGACCATCTCAGGCCAGGCAGTCAGACCCTGACCTGACTCCATCACTGCACTAACTAAACCTCATTTATGTGGGTGTCCTGTCTGCTCCTCATTCTCACCCCAGGCTGTGAGTTTGTGGAGGGCAGAAGCTGGTTCCTGGTCACTGTTTTAGTCTTAGCACACAATGACCATGACAATGGCATTTGTGGAGAGCTGGCCACAGACCAGGTACCATGGCTTATGTGCATTATTTCACTCATTTGTCTCAACAGACTCAAGGGATGTGAATGACCTTTACTGAGGAGAGGAAGGCTTGGGAAGGTTAAGCCCCGGGGCTGGTCCAGCCATGGTGTCCGGGGAGTCCACACGCAAACACTGGCAGGGGGGCATCGGTGAATACACACACGCACAGGTGGTATGATGGCGATAAGCCAGTGTCTGTTAGATGGTGGGGGTGACGTACAGCAGTGACGTTTCAGGCTGTTATTCATGGGAGGCATCCCATTGAAAATAAATGAGACATGTGTCTTTCTCTGTCCCTAACCTGCCACATTCTCCTTCTCTGTGGCCTCACTCTGACCACCTCCAGCTGCCCCTCGAGACAGCCCAACCTTTGTTCCCCACTCAGCCAGCCTGTCCCTCACACCAGCCCCTAAGGCTCCGCCCTGATCTCTCTCCCTTCCTGTTGAGTGACCAACCAGAGCACTGTCCCCACACTGCCTGGCCACCGCTCTGTGTCCCCTCTTCCAGTCTCTAACCCCTCCCTCTTGGCAGGTGATCCGATGTCAGGGGTGGCAGTGAAAAGGTGAGCCCGCAGACTGGCACTGCCTCCCTGTCCGGCCCCACGCCCCAGAGTCCCGTCTTCTCTGCCCACAAGAGGACAGCTTCTTTCAGTGCAGTCTCTGGTTTGGACATGAGGCTGGGAACCATATTAATGATACAAGTTTAGGACCTTTGGGGATTTGGTGATGCCTTGTCCCCACACCGAAGACCATACACACGCGTGCATGAGTCTCAGCTCCGCTAACACCTGCCCAAAGTTATGCACCCAGGCACGGCCACACAGATGTAGGTTCCAGTTCCCAGAATACCACTCATTCCCCAAAGGATCCCTGGCAGGTGAGTGCCCTGTGACTCAGTTTCTCCACCTGTGCAGTAAGGTAGCTGGCCTTGATTCCATGTGCTTTCACAGACAACCGTGCACATCTAGGCACACTCTCAGACACGCACACAGCCTACACAAAAACAGATACAAAGAGACACAGGCAGGCACACGCATACTCAGAAATGAACCCAATGCGTGCAAAACTCTACAGATGCAGGGGAAGGTGCTCACCTGTAGATAGAGTCCCAGACACACCTGACACCTGGAGACATACACAGGCCAACACACGGATGGATACACACACAGAGATGCAAAGATACAGTCAAGCAGATGCACACTCACACACACAAACGTACACATGGACAGGACATTTGCTCTCCTCTCCCCATTTTCCTGGCCAGCCTCCACGTGGACAAGCTCTTGGAAAAGAAAAACAACGTGAGAGTCTGCGGGGGAGGGGAAGGAGGCAGGAAATCTGAGTGCCAGCCTGGCAGTACTAGGGCTGTACTAGGAATGGTGGGTGCTAAGGGGGTCCTGGGGCCTGGGCACCTTGTCTGCTGGGCCCTTCTGTAGCTCTGAAACGGAGAGGGTGGCTAGGAGGGGGCCACCGCCACATCCTCTCTGCCTCTGGGAGCCGCCAGGCCTGGCACGGGCTCGGCAGGCAGGAAGGGGACGGCCTGCTCCTTCCAGGAATCCCAAGCCTGTCGCGCAGGGGCAGGGCGGGCGCCACCCAGGCCCCTAATGGCTTCCAGGCGCCCACGCTAAAGGCAGGGGTGGGCTCCAGACTCAGCTCCTGTTCCACTCCTCAGCAGTCTGGCCCGCCCCTTCCCAGGGGCTGGGGAAAAGGATAAGACAGCAGTGGGGACAGACAGACTGCGAGGGGCCCTCCGGCTTTTCCTCCTGCAGATCAGGGTCCCTTGGGGGCTGTGTATGCATACCTGTGGGAAGGAGTGGGGGTGGGGGGCCCCAAGGTTGGTTTTCCAGAAAGCCCATCCCCCAGCACACCGGGAACCCTGCACACCCATGTAGATTCAACCAGACCCTGCCAAGCAATGCACACCTCCCCTCGCCCCCACCCACCCCCTGGCATGTAACACAGCCTTGGGGACAAAACTCACACATGGCCCTGGTAGCACACAAACTCACGGAGAGTCAGACGCAACACGGGCTCTAGCTGCCCTGCCCTGCTGCCCTTTCCACCCAGGCTCGGTGCCTTCTTCCCATCGGGCGTGCCCACATGTGTGCAGGGTGGCCTCTTGATTCCCCCAAGGTGTCACCATCCCTTAAGGAGCAGGTCTGTGAGGGACCAACCACCACAGGCCCCAGGGACACTTCCTCACCCCAGCCTCCTCTCTCTCTAACCCTCAGGGTTGCTGCTCAAGCTGCACCCCTCCCGACCAGGAGCCCAAAACCCCCACCCACCCTTCCAGCTCAGTCCCAGCACCTCCAGGAAATGCCTCGATCTCCCCAGCCCCACGCCCCACCCAGAGAGCACAGCCCTACAACCTTCTGCAGCATGACCTGGCCAGCTACCCTCTTCTTGTAGCACAGAAGGGTTCCACCCACAGAGGCGGGACTCTTATGCCACCCAGAGCTTCCAGGACAGGCCCTGATTTGAGGATTTGCTGCTATGTGACCAGCGGGGTGCAGAGCGGAGGCTGAACTGTGACTTGCATCCCCTTAGCTGGGCAGCAGTGCTGAGCGGGACACAGAGCTCCTGGGCCCCACAGCCAGCCCCACTGCTCTGGACAGCTGCTGGCCCACTTCAGGACAGAAACAAGAATGTTTTGCTGGGACACTCGCCTCCAGCTAGGCTCTTGTCAGGTGTGTCCACCGAAAGTAACCAGTGGCTCCTGCTGCTTGTGGACCCATCTGGAGTATCTCCCCCTTCTTTCTCTATCAGCAAACTCCTACACATCCTTCAAGGCCCACGTTCAGTTTCCCCTCCTCCAGGACGCCTTCCCTGACCTTGTACACAGATTACGTCAGTGCTCCCAAAGCACCGGCACCTCCCTGTTCTTCACCAGTGGCCACCTTGTGAAGTCCACAAGGGCGCCTTGGCCTCGCTGGCTGTCAGCACACAGCAGATGCTGCGTACATGTTTCCCAGGCTATGGATGAAAGATGGGCAGTTAGGGGTCCCTTTGCAACCAGGGAGGGCTGAGCTGTCCTAAGGATCAGCAGTCACTTTGTGGCCAGGCATTGGGACAGGGACAGACAGGGGTCTGAGCCTGTTTGTGGCCAAGGCCAGGGTCAGAGGTCATCTCATGGCCAGGTCAGGGGTCAGGCTTCTTACCAGAGGAAGCCTAACGGGCCCATAAGGGCACAACTTGGTGTTTTGTTCTAAGCATGTTTAGATAACTCTCAATATCCAATGAAAGAAGTGAGCGATGCTGAGGCCTGGATGGGGGCCAGCTGAGGGGTCTGGGGGTACGCCTGGAAGCCCAACTCCACCCTCCAGCTCAGACACCCCCTATGTCCTCCTAGAACCTTTCAGGTGGGGCTATGGGGCCGGCCCATGGCCACAGGCCTGGCTCTGGGCAGGGAGCAGAGCCCAGCAGGAAACCGCAGAGGACAGCCTGATTGGATAAGTGCAGGGTCTAAGGCTGGTCAGCCCACAAACTGCGGGCACCTGTCTCTCTGACCTGCTGCCTGGGCTCCAGCCACCGGACCTCCGGGAGAGGACTGAGAGGGAGGGAGGCAGGCAAGCGGGGCCTGCAGGCTGGGCCTGCAGGCTGGACCTGAGCCCTGGGGTCGGTGCCCCTGGACTGTCTCAGATACCCCCATCTCAGACGGAGGAGCCATCAAGATAGCCTGGAACTCCTTTACGAATGGCCCAACTGAGGCCCAGGGGAACAGCCACTTGTCCACATCCACAGAGGACAAACAGCAAAGCGTGCGCGCGTGTGTGCGTGCGTGTGTGTGTGTGTGTGTGTGTGTAGGGGGCGGAGTTTCAGGAAGCTGGAGTGCTGGGATTGGATGTTTCTCTTCTTAGGTCATGTCTACTTCAGGCGCACCTCCACAATGGGGTCCTCAGGCATCTGGCCAAGTGGCCCAGCATAGCTGGTATGTGAAAGAGTGGGAGCCCCTTTTGGGGATCGACCCCCCAGCCCCAAATGTCTCAGCGACTTCTTGATCTATTCACTCTTGCAGAGCAGACATCCCGCTAGTCCCAGCTGTGCCAGTGTTACGCTGTGTGGTATCTGCAAGTCTCTGCCCTCCCTGGGCCTGTTTCCTTATCCTTATGTTAGGGAGAGGCACTAACAAGATTCCTAAAAGTGGGCAGACCTGGTGCCAACCTGAACCAATCTAACGCCGCATCCCTGAAAAAAAACCCACTTAAGAGAGAAACTGAAGCCCCGGGTGGGGAGAGGCTTGGCCACATAATCACCCGTTGGCACCCTGAGAACGGCGCGGAACTGGGGCCCACTCCTTTGTCCTAGGGCTAGTCACTCCACCTGCTCCAACACCTTACAGAAATTCACTTTCTGCCTTTTCCAAGGCTTGACTCGCCTTAGGCCGAACTTCCTGGTCCCGCTCCCGGGCTGCCCACGTCCAGCGAGCTGCCCCGCACCCCCTAGCGGCTGGCAGAGGGCGGTAGGGCCACCCCGGCTCACCGGGCGCTGTTCCGCCCACCACACCGCGCGGTCCCCATTGGTAGCCTAGCGGGTCTGGGGAGGTGGCTTCGTGCTCCGATTGGCCCACGCCACTCGTCCATCACTCACTCGCCATGGTGACTGTGTTGGGTCCCCCGGGGAAAGTTCCAAATTCCGCCCCCGCCCGATGCCCCCGCCCGCCCCGTCGGGCCCGCGGCATTCCGGAGGCGGCCCTGTCTCCCCCACCCTGCATCCCCTCCACATCTGAGGCCCAAGGGCCCAGAAGCTGGGGGAGCCAGCGAAGGGGACTCGGAAGTTCTGCCTGAGTTTGGAGTTGCTGCGGACGCGGGAAGCCCGCAGCCCCCACTCTCTCCAGCTCGTCCCCCAACTTAACCCCTTCTCTCCCTCGGAAGAATCGCGGCCTGGAAGGAGTTCCTGGGACGCCGTGGCTTTCCATCCCGGCACTATCGCCCCCGCTCACCTCGGCCGGGGACCCTCGAGCTCCGGACGTCCGACCCGCCGCGGCTGGGCGGAGCGGGCACGGGGCTGACTGCGGCCGCCGCCGGCAGGGCCGAGGGAGGGCCGCGGAGTCTCCTCCTCCCTCCCGGGGGGGAGGGGAGGGAAAGGAGACGGCCGGGGGGTGGGGGCTGTGGGGCGCCCGGCAAACTGCGGCCCGGCCGCGACCCTGGCCGGCTGACACCCTGGAGGGGGGCACCCGCCTAACTTTGGGGCGAGGGGCCTGGGCCTGGGCCTCGGGCTCTGCTGCAGAGCGGGCGGGACCCCGGCAGAGGCCCCACCCCTGCATGGGGGGCCGAGCAAGGGGAGAACGGGAGGCAGGGGCTGGAGACGCCGCGGGGCTCGGCTTTCCCGCTTCAGGTTTCCAGAGCGCCAACTAAGTGCTAGGCACCCCGCGGCAGAAGTGGACACCGGCTGTCTCGGGCTCAGCACGTGGAGCCTGCCTACCGACTGTTCACTTTTGTTAACTGCTTTCTGCCTAGTGTCAGCTCTGCTACCTAGTGGACGTGCAGCAGCAAGTTCTGTCCGCAGGCGCCCAGAAGCTTTGGGGTTTCCTGCCTCACTGAGCAGTGGGTGGGGAGGTGGGGGTCTGCGGTTTGGGCAGGAGGGACCGGCAGGCTCTGGGAGGGCCTCTTACCACATCCTGTGCCCTGGAGGGCAGACTGAGGTGAATTCATCCGGAAAGAGAACCAAAAATTCAGAGAAAGAGAGTTGGGGGAAACCTGGCCAAGTTGGGACTTTACGTCAAAAATAAAAAATGCTGAAGATAAGTTAGTTTTAGCCTGTGGTTAACAATATTTAGATTATGATTGCCATCACCCACATATTAGAATGATGGAAGAATCGGCTCTTCGCGACAAAAGGGTCGTTTTTTTTTTTTCCCCCAAAAATATTTCAGGGTTTCAAGCCCAAGGGTCACTCTGAATCCTTTAATGGCCAAACAGTTCTCTTAAAGGGCAGGGTCATTTCTCTGGCAGAAGTTTTCTTACTCTGTGGTTAGCTGCTGCTCCATTTCCATGGCACTACTTCCGTCAACTTCATGAAATCCCATACTTTTTGCAAGATTTGCAGTTTCAAGATTTACACTTGCTGTGTATTTGCACGGTTAAACATGGACAGCCCCAGACGGTGGGAGACAGATTTGGGTGTGTTGTGTGATGCCTGAGAGGGAAGCTTAGGCGACACCTCGGACCTGTGAGGCTGAGAGGTAGACTGTGTGCAGGACCGGGACGTCATGTTAACGCTCAGGAAACGCTTGGAGAGGCTGTCGGCTCACACACACCCAAAGTCCCATAGCCACTGAGGACAGCCCTGCACCAAGAGCTCAGATCAGAGTTCCTTACGGTTTCCGGGTTTCTGGAGGCCAGGTGGGGAGCAGGTGGAGGAGGCTGAGATGATGATGGACCCAAGTTCCAATTTTAACACCGTCACTGTTGGGCTTTCCCTCTTTCTTTCTTTTTTTGATTTTATTTTTAGAGAAGGGTCAAGGGATGGAGAAAGAGAGGGAAAGAAACGAATTGCCTCTCACGTGCCCCCAGCTGGGGGCCTGGCAGGCATCCCAGGCTTGTGCCGTGACTGGTAATCAAACCAGCAACCTTTGGGTTCACAGGCCAGTGCTCAATCCACTAAGGCACACCAGCCAGGGTGGACCTTCCCTCTTAGGAGAGTAAGCAGCATTGTTGTTCTAGGGGTGTCTCTTCCAGGGGGAGGGGTGGGGAGGAGCCACCTACTCTTTGAACTAAGATGAGTGCCAACAGTAGGCTTCACAGTTCTGTTTTACGGCCACCCTGTGAGCTGGGTTAACACCCTCTCACAATGAGAAATTGAGGATCGGAAAGTCAAATGAAAGGCCCAGGGCTGCCCAGCTGGGAGGGGCTCAGAGCCCAGGTCTGACTCAATTTACCACCGTCACTCCTGTCCCTAATACCACACCTTCAGGCAGCCCTCAGGATGAAGTGCTGATCTGGTGTGCGCCTCCCACTGCCCCTCCCCAGGGGCTTCTCTCCCCAGTTCCGGACAGAGAGGTTTTTAAGTGCAGCCAGTGCGGGTGTCTCCCACCAGCACAGAGAGCTTGTGCCATTACTTATTCAGTGTTTTTTTAGAGTCATTTTATGTTTTAGAATAGGCAATTTGTATGAGTTGGCATAAATAGAGGAAAACCATAAAAATAAGTATCATGTAAACACACATCTTTGATCCAGTAGAAACTTTTTCTTTGTTAGAAAGGGACGTGACAGGAGCACCCACCCGAGTCCATAGCACCGTTATTGCCAGGAGCTAGCAGCAACCCGAGTGTCTGCTGGTGGGCAGGTGGATATGCAAAATGGAGTTTGTACATTTAAAGAAATATTATTTAGCCTTAAAAAGGAAGGAAACCATGACTCATGCTACAGCATCAATTAACCGTAAAGTTGGTGTGCGAAGTGAAAACCAGCCAGGAAAAGACAAACGCTGTGTGATTTGCATCAGGTCCCTGGAGTAGTTAAATCCAGAGGCAGAAAGTGGAACGGTGGTTGGCGGGGCGGGGGGAGGGGAATGGAGAGTGAGTATTTGATGGGGATGGAGTTGCAGTTTGGGAAGGTGGAAAGTTCTGCAGACGATGGTGGTGATGTTTGCACAGTGTGAAGGAGCTTAATGCGCTGAACCAGAGGCTTAAAAATGGTGAAGATGGTAAACTTTGTTTTGTACTTGTATATTTTGCACAAAAAATTTATTTAAAAAATATGTTGTAGCCCTGATCAGTGTGTCTCAGCTGGTTGGGCATTGTCCTGCAAAAGGAAAGTTTACAGGTTCGATTCCCGGTCAGGGCACAAGCTTGGGTTGTGGGTTCGGTCCCTGGTCGGGGCACATACCAGAAGTAACCAATTGATGTTTCTCTCCCTCTCTTTTGTCCTCCCTTCCCCTCTCTCTAAAAATAAATAAATAAAATCTTTAAAAAATATGTTGTTTTCTGTGTCCAATACAGTTCGAAGAGTGGGGCGGGAAAAGGACAGAAGGCCGTGGTAGGCAGGGGTTAGAAAGAATTTACGTCTCAAAGGAGGCTTCCGGATGTAAGCGGGATTGAGAAAAGTATACGAGTTGTTCAAGGTGTGACTCAGTTTACTGAACGTCCTGTCGGGGATCCCACTTACTCTCTTCTCACAGATCACCAGCCCCTGCGTGGAGGGGCCCTTCACTGGGACGGCGTGTGGCTCTCTGACGGCCGGGAGTGGGAGGTGGTTTTTCCCTCTTCCTGCCCCAGGCACTGAACGTGGGACTGGCAGGCCCCCTAAAGCTGAAGCATCTGCGATGTCTTAGGAGTTGGAGGCAGGAGCCCTAAGGGATGGAGAGGCGCTGCGGTGCTGCCCAGGTGCTTGGGAGCATCCCAGCTGGGACAGAGCAGGGAGGTGGGTCTGAACATGGCCAGCGCATCCAGAACTGGGTGGCTGTAGAAGTCAGGTGGGGCGGGGCCATGAAGGCGGGAGGGAGCCCTGCTGGCTGATGAACCGGGCAGTGTGCTGGCGGAGTTCCGGGATCTGGAGTGCGGGGCCGGGTAAGAAGCACCCCCAACTGAAGTGGGGCCCAGTGAGGCTGGCACAGACCCCCAGTGGAAGAGAAGGACTTCGAGAAGAGCAGGGCCTCTCCTCTGGCCCCGGGAGTGGCCACCCGGGCTCACAGACAGCCGAGCGGGTGGGCGGGGGAGGGGGGGGAAGACTGCTGCTGCTGCAACCTCAGAGGTGGCTGGGTGACCTCAGAAGGGAAGGGTCTGGAGGTCAATGCCAGGGTGGTAATCACAGAAAACCAATGTGCAGACCCAGCGGTTGTGTGGTCAAGGTGTCAGGACGCAGGTGCACAGGGGGCCTTGCAAAGCCTTTCTTTGCACTGCAGCCGTTGTTGGGACGCCTGTGCTCTGTGAAACCTCCCCACTCTCCAAGGAGCAGCTCCCCTCTCCCTTTTCACAGGGGCCACCTGAGCTACCTGCAGGCTGAGATTGAACTGATGCTGGAAACCCCTGGGCCACCCCAGGGGTGGGCAGAGAAGAAGTGGCTATCTGTGGGCTGTGCTCCAGCTGACCTGTAAGGTCCCTGAGCTGGGGGCACAGAAGAGACCATGTTGGGATCTACCTTCTTCCTCCTTGTTGCTACACCCCCATCCCACCCCTCCACACCCAGAGGGTAGGGCAAGTTTCCCCTGGGGAGTGCTGTCCCCCCACCAACACACACGGGCACCTCTCCTTGTTCCTTAGGGTCCTCTGGAAGAGGTGGCTGGTGTTAGGACAGGCTTGGCCCAAGGAGAAGCTGGCCAGCCTTCCAGCCCCACTGTTCTGACCACATTTTCTGAGCTCTGCTCCCAGTAAGTCCCATCCCCGGAGGGCTCTGCCCCTGGGTAACTCTGGGCCAGGCCCCTGTCTGTTCCACGGGCTCCCCACGTGTGAAACACCAAGGGCTCTGCAGCATCGCCTTCTCTAAGCCCCACACTGCCCCGTGGGGTGGCACTGTCCTGGTCTCCATTTTACACAGGGGACACCGAGGCTCCACTGTCAGTCAGATGCCCGAAGCCACCCATCCTGCAAGTGGTGGGACCAGCATTTGAACCCAGGCAGGCCAGCTAGTCCTCGCCTTTTCCTTCTGGCATGTGGTGGCAGCAGCAGCTGCCCAGGTCAGCCCCTCTATGCCCCTCTATTCCCCACTTTCCCAGCTAACTGCCCCCCTCAGGGCACTCCCCAGCAGGGGCCGGGCATGCCCCCACCTGGTCCTTACCATCATCAGTCTCATTAGTTGTCAGGTCAGGCAGGGGTCATTCTCCCTTTTCTACAGAGGGGGAAACTGAGGCCCAGAGAAGTGAAATCCCTTGCCCAGTGGTACAGAGCTGAGGTGGGTCTTGAACTTGGCAAGGTGACATTTTGGCCAGCCTTTTCCCCCCACCCCACTGACTCCAAGCACCCCGCCCATTGTGGGCTCTGGGCTTTGAGATCAAGGAGTGAGCTGGGTGTTGCTGTGAGCACAGAGGAAGCACAAGGTTTCTACCACTGAAAGAAGAAGTGCAGGCGTGCGGTGAAGAGAGCAGAGAGGCTGCCCCAGCACAGAGGTTCCTGGGTCCCCTTCTCCTTCCCCTTCTTCTGCACACGGAGGCAGCAGCACGGCAGGCGGCGGCAGCAGCTTCACAGGTCAGCCCCTCCGGGCCTCGCTATTGCCCACTCCCCC